TATTAACCATTACACCCTGATATAAACAAATTTTATCTCAAACGAATGGCAATTTGCGTTGATTGGTTCAAGATGACCTGATCTCCGGTCTGCAACAGAACACACATGGTTCTATGCTGTGGAATGTGCTATTCACAAATGCTGGCCATAGTACACAATTAATTTTACTATATTGTCTCTAAATTTGTTTCTCAGTACTGAACTTTCCACTGTGTGACAATCAATACAAATCATATGTTAATCTAAAATACCTTCAAATATGACTTTACGGTTTAGTTCTTGTCAAGGGTTGACCTGCATTTTTTTGAGAGGCTGAATTGTAAACAAAACATCAGGCAACGGAACACAGATTTCACTTCCGGATCATCACCATGACCTTATTACTCAATGTGCACTGTCGCCGAAATACACACAGACAACCACACCATAAGCTCACATTTTAAAGAATAAACAATTGCCTTTAAATCCTTACCAAGAATGCCAAAATCTAACTCTAGTATCACCACCAATTTCAGACAGGAAAAAGTGATCTAAAATTAGACTGGGACTACATTCGTGGGTACTGAACCGGATTTTATTAATTGTGTACTGATTCCTGAAAGAGTCAATATTTTTGTCAAACTTTATATTTGCATTTTATTTTGCGTGCCACTACTGTTTCAACTTCATACATAAAGTCTTTTGAAATTTCCTTGCAAGCAAGTCATGTGACAGCTGTCAGAAAGTGTGTAGTGCTGGTGTTCTATAGGGTGAAATTTGAGGTCCAATTGTTCTTAAGAAACCAAAACTAAATTTGCTATATCTTCCTTAATTATAGGAATTTTTCAATGCAGTAAAAACCTAATTGTAATACTTGATAAGGCCTGTCTGCACATATTGAAACTAAAAATATTGATATGTTAAATTTTAAATGAAATTTAAACAAATATTTAAATTTTAAAAACTTTTTATTTTTAAAAGATTTTATTTTCATACAAGTTATAACCTTCAGTTTGACAAATTTAAGGCAGCAAAGTTGATTAATGAATGGTTTTTAAAACAAATGGTATTTTGGGTCTGTACAACTGATAATACTATTCCCAAGGGTACTGAAGCATGACAGCTCACAGTGATTTGGACAGCAAATTTCAATAGGCCTATCCAGCTGCATATAGGTGTACCTACTTAAGAAACAATGACAGGTGCTATGTTCCACATTTATTATTTCAGGTACTTGGGCAGTTGTTTGTATAATAGCCCACTCAAATTTAAAGTTTTGATGGGACCACTACCATGTTTTATAGCAAATATGCATTCCATTTTAATGCCAATAACTACAAAAGTCAACAATGCAATATGAAAATACAGTTTCACCTTACTGAAAAATGATGCGAATCTCTCTCATGAAGATCTAAGCCATGTCTTTGAGATGCTGTATATCAGTATACTGATATGAACTCATCTTGGTCACTTATAGCAGCACACTGCACATGTCCTTATGAGACCTTGCTATCACCTTTGGACTACTGGAGAGCTTCCAAATTGATCCAACTCTAATACTTTGTTCCAGATACCAGACTAGACCTGAAAATATATAACATGTTTCACTTAATTCTAAAAAAATGGAAGATGTAGGCAAATGAAGTTAAAATGTGTTAGATATGGTGATTTCAAAACAACATTCAGCTTGCAAATATGGGCAAAAAAGGTAAACTTGACAGAGTGACACTCATAGACGTGAAGCACTGGGCATGTATTAAAGTGATATATACATCCTAAAAATAGATGAAGTTTCTACAAGCATATATAGCCATTTACAGGTAAAATACCTAATCAGACAGAGTATGTATCATAAAGTTTAAGGCAATGGTGAGGTTTGATCATTGGTGCAAACATTGATACATACCAGTATAGTGGAAAGTCAAATGACAATGTACCAAATTAAAATTTATTACTATATGCAATCCTATTCATGAAGGAAAAACAACTTTAGATATTGTGAGTGAATATAGCAAAATGTGGCCACATAGATCAACTATAGGTACCAATAAATCCTATATCATCAACTAAATGTGAAATTTTCATCCCGAAAACTTGTAAACAAGGATGGATATTTGCATGTGTGGGACATATGCAATGTACTTGTTAAAATCACATGTGCAAACAGGATTCAAATAATCTGTTTGAACATTTTTAGTCTTTTTTTAAGAGTCTTGGCTACCAAATTATTAAGTTCAATGATTCAATGGAATCAGATATCAGCTGATGCTGCAATACCGCCCTCTGTCAAAGTACTAAATTGAAATGTGTTACCATACAGAGGCATATTCATGATGAAAATAACATCTTGGGATATTTTAAGTGCACACAGTCAAAACTGAGCCTTACAGATTCACTATAGGTACTATGTCAGCCTAACAATGTCAACTTTTGATTCCAAACATTACAAAATATATGCATATTTGTTCATGTCAGCTATGTAACCATGTTAGGATCAGTTGTAGAAAGTTAAATTCAAATAATCTGTTTGAATATTACTTATGTAATCTTTAAAGTGTCAGATAACAAATATTATTAGTCATTAATAATGCATAAAGCAAAATGGATCATGAAAATTCCCATAATATCATCTGGGCTGCAATGCCGCACTACATCAATCAACATCTTAAAGAAACTGAACAATAAAATGGAATTCATTCTGTGTTCAACTTACATCATTTTGCTGTTTTCTTACATGCAATGGTAAATATACCTGGGTAAAGTATATTTTACCCCTCTGACCTGTATTTCATTCTCTGACAGCTTAATATGATTTTGTAGAGAACTTGGACAGGTTCTAGTATAAAGTCTTCATCTCTGTCCTCTCACTAAATACCCTATAACTATGTTTATAAACAATTATTGATAGCTATACAAGCAGATATGTGTTACTAGGGAAGTCACCCCATCATAAACACATAAATTAACTGTTTGGACCCCAAATGAATAGTTTCAATGACCTAAAGGTACAAATCAAAATAGAATTATGTCTTCATGTATTTTAAATGAGGGTCTCATTTTGACTAATAAAGATATTTTTCTCTGATCAAATTTGACAAATATCCATCATTTGAGCTTGTATATGGTGTAGGAGTATATATATGCTGATATCATTTAATATCATTCCCAAAAAATTTTATATATGTGTATACTTGGTGGAAAATTTTTATTTTTTAATTGTTTTTAAATTTCATTCAAATTTTTAAAAATAATTTATTTTTTTATTTTGTATTTCATTTTTATATTTTTAAGTCAATATACATAACATATTAAAACTTCATGTGTATGTCATTAATAATAAAAATTTTATATCAGTTTTAAGTTTTTATTGTCAGGCCTTAGAACACAATTAATTTCACTATATTGTCTCTACATTTGTTTCTCAATACTAAACTTATACACTGTGTGACAATCAATACAAATCATATGTTAATTTAAAATACCTTCAAAGATAACTTTATGGTTTAATTCTTGTCAAGGGTTGACCTGCATTTTTTTGAGAGGCTGAATTGTAAACAAAACACCAGGCAACGGAACACAGATTTCACTTCCGGATCATCACCATGACCTTATTACTCAATGTGCACTGTCGCCGAAATACACACAGACAACCACACCATAAGCTCACATTTCTAAAGAATAAACAATTGCCTTTAAATCCTTACCAAGAATGCCAAAATCTGACTCTAGTATCACCACCAAACTTTGACAGGAAAAAGTGATCTAAAAATAGACTGGGACTACATTCGTGGGTACTGAACCGGATTTTATTAATTGTGTACTGATTCCTGCTGTGGCCATCGGCACCCATTTCATGTCAAAAGAGCAAGATTCCTATCTGCATAAGAGTGGGTCAATATTGACAATTTCTCTAACTGTTTACTCAAAGGGTAATTAAAAGACAGCACGACTGGCTTTCCATATAAGAAAAAATATTTTTTTTTTGCTCTGCCAAGACGTGACTGTCATACAGGGCGCTTTGAAGAATTAACTTCTGCACTTAAAAGTAGAGGTGCCTGGTAATACCAGTATACCCGCTTACCGAGATACTTTTTCCGGTACCGTACCACGATACTTTTTCACTGTGCAGTATGCACGAACTTTTCGTCAGGATGCAATTTACCAAAATTACAGACGAATCGTGTCACTAATTTAATGATATTCACGGCGTCTTTTCATTGTTTATGACAAAATATTTTTTTAAAAATTATTTTTTTTCAAACGGTTGTATCTGTTACAAATTAATAGTAAATACTACAAATATGGTGGCATTTATGATCCGCTAATCACATGTTTGACACGTGGTTTCCAATGGGAATGTTATGAAACATTCGCACCAAATCGAACTTTCCCGACAAAATTTTGGAATAAAAAAACAAACAAACAATATAACAAAAACAGAAAATATGTCATGTTCTATTTATTTACTACCTATTTGAATATCTTATTTGTATACCTATGTAAGATTGCAAATCATCATGTGACTTTCAGAAGCGTATTTGTTTTCTGTCTGAACTTTACTTAATTCCACTAGATATTTTCTCGTTTGCTGAGTAAGTCAGATAAATATCTTCCTCTGGTCTTGGTATCCCACTCAAGGTTTCCATTGCTATCGTAGGCTTCAGTATCCACACTTCCTATTTCAATTAATGGACTCTCAAATCTCAGCACGAATTCTTTCACAGTAGCAGCTATAGTGCAACCCTATTCATTCCACTTTCGTTACTTATTAATCGGCATGTACATGAATCAATTCATGTACTATAGTGTAATGGCCATTTAATATTGGGGGGAAGAGGTATATGATTTTCTGTTGAGCTGAAATATTTTTTTTCTCTTTCGTCTCAAGATAATATTTTCTTTTTAAAAATTCCAATAATATCATTGTTATAGGGTAATTTTTCTATCAATCACATGAATATTTGTTTACAGATTTTGTTTGGCTGAAATTAAACAAAAAAGAATTAGGTTCTCGCTCCACCGCTTCGGTGGTCTCAATGGTTAGAGCGTCGGACTTGGGTTTGAGAGGTCGGGGGTTCGAGCCCCGGCCGAATCTTCTCACAGACATATGAAAATAATAATAGTAGCTGCCTCGCTTTGTGCTCAGCATTAAGCGGTTAGTGTAAGGGCTGGTCGACCTGATATCCGGTTAATGTGACTAAGTGGAACATGATGCTACATGTCTGTGGCATGATGCCCCAGTGCTAGACATCACTATAAACTGCCGATAACTCCAGTGTCCTAGTGGTTAGAATGTCCGCCTCAGATGCGGGAGGTCGCGGGTTCGAACTCCGACTGGGCTGAGTTATACCAAAGACTTACCCCCAAAAACTGGTACTAACAGCTGCCTCGCTTGGCGCTCAGCATTAAGAGTTTTCTGTAAGGACTGGTCGGCTTGGTGTCAGGATAATGTAACTGGGTGGGACATGATGCTACATGCCTGCGGCTTGATGACCCAGTGCTGGATATCACTATAAACTGTCACACTGCAGACATCGTAGAGGTATGACTGAAAAATTGTTAAAGCTCAGTTAAAATCTAAAAAAAACACACATACACTATATAAACTGCCACACTGCAAAGCGATATGACTGAAAAATCGTTAAAGCTACGTAAAAAACAAAAAACAAATCACACACTCAAACCCTGCTCCAGAACATTCGATTGTTGGTCACCAATATAATGAAGGTAAATCGGGACACGTATTGCGTGGCACCCAGCTTTACCTGAACGCATTGTTGTACCTTTCATTGTTGCAATATTCATAACACAACATGTTCATTTAATACTGCTAATCTAAAACCGATCCGGTGGCCTAGTGGCTAGAGCGTCCGTCTCAGATGCTGGGGGTCGTGGGTCCGATTCCCGGTCGAGTCTTACCAAAGAGATACAAAATAAGTACTAACAGCTGCCTCGCTTGGCGCTCAGCCTTAAGAGGTTAGTGTTAGGACTGGTTGGCCTTAAGAGGTTAGTGTTAGGACTGGACTGCCTGGTGTCAGTATGATGTGACTAGGTGGGACATCATGCCACATGTCTGCGGCATGATGCCCCCGTCCTAGACACCACTCTAAACTGACACACTGCAGACATCGTAGCGAGATGACTGCAAAATTGTTAAAGTTGCGTTAAAAATCATAACACATCACACCACGTCACTGCGAATCTAAAAATTGTTATCGAGTTAACGTCATTTCTCAGCTCAAGATAGACTATACATAGCGGTAAGTATGAAGAAAAAACCTTGGTGTATAAAACACGCTGGTGGACTCGGCCACCCATAGCTCCGCTACCGAATAAGACCTTATAACAACCAATTTTAGCTCCAGTAACATCTAATCCTATAGTTCCAAACTTTATTTCAAACTTTATGTTTTTAAGGTGCACTTTAGCATTTTGTCTAAAAGTATGCTTTGGTAAAGCTCACTAAGGTCCATGCAACGTATACGTCTTATTTGTTTGGAGCAGCATGTTCAAAATTCTACTTTTACTTGCGAGAACAAGATTACTGCAAACTCTCTACTTTAACAAGAATATGTTTTGACGTTGATTCTGCCCCAGAGCTGATGTCAAGGTCATAATATAATAGTAAGTATCCAATAAATGTAAGAATGACGATACTTTATTGTACTCTCATTATTCTGAACACTTGGCTTTTAAAGCACATTGGTATTAACTTCATTAAATGCAATGAAACGACAGAGTACGCTGCCATAGCTCTCATTCGATCACCCGTGTTTGAATGAATGATTCTATATAATGATTTAAACTATTGATAAATTGGCATGTTATTCGTATTTAGCAAAATATTTGGAATATGAACTCCACAAAATCAAACCCATTCAGTGGCGTCACTATGGGTGTGTGAGGTGTGTGGACCGCACCGGGTGACACCATTGGGGGGGGGACACTAAAATGATTGTCTATAAAATGTTTGAATTTTTGTGTGGTAAGGGGGTCCATATGGGCGACACCATGATTTACTGCACATGATTGTCTACAATAGTTTTTAATTTTTGTGCAGTAAGGAGCTCCATGAGGGTGACACCATGAGTTACCGCACTGGGTGACACCAACCCTGGTGACGCCACTAAACCAATTATTAGCTAGATGCACTCATTGTATAGAATCAGTGTATGGTGAGGCGTGAGGGGATTCTTTGGTTAAATGAACACGATAACCTGGAAGAAACTGTCGACCATATTAGTTTTTTGGAGTGTAGAAACTATTATGACCGTCATGAACCCCTTACACCCAACCCCTTCGTGGCAGGCTTTATTGGGTTACAGACGGTTATAATACTAATATTCCATACACAACGATATGAATGTATTACCCTATAAGCCTCACATACGTATTTTGGGTTAAACTTATAACAGATTCCGAATCTCGTAACCCCTATATTTAGCTATGCGGACCGTTGTTTAAAGAACATCACACTAAATGTAGCAGTTACCTCCCTTTAACAGAAAAACGTATCCTCTAAGAACGAAATACAAATCATCTTTGCTTAATAGATGTATAAACATATAGCCCACAATTTTGCTTTTTACGCGTTAAAGAGATAAAAAGTAAATCATTGCTCTGCAAATGAAAAGAACTAACAAATTAATATAGGCGGCTGATGACAAATGCAAATACTTAGGTTTTCAGTAATCTTTACACCTGTTGTCGTTCTCATAATACAAGTAGATGAAAAATCAAAAGGATATTATCCTGAGATGGTAATATATCATCATTTTTGCATTATCCCTGAGCTGATGCTCAATCAATAATTAACTGCAGATATCGAACAGACGTATAATCACTAAAGTCAACTTGTCTGTGTTTAAAAAAGTTTAATTTTAATGGCGTACAGTATACATTAAAATTGATCTTAACACTTGTACAGTGAACATTTAAAATAATTTTAGCATTAGTACAATGTACATTTAAATTAATCTTAATACTTGTACAGTGTACATTTAAACTAAAGTACAATGTACATTTAAATTAATCTTAATACTTGTACAGTGTACATTTAAACTAAAGTACAATGTACATTTAAATTAATCTTAATACTTGTACAGTGTACATTTAAACTAAAGTACAATGTACATTTAAATTAATCTTAATACTTGTAAATGTAACGAAAATGTGCAGCAATTATTTAATTTAGTTTTAGCATGTGTGCAGTTTAAATTTTAATAAAGGCATAAGCATCAGAATGTAATAAAATTAAGGACTGCATAAATAAAGAGGCAAATAAATTTACAAATATCTCTCCTTTTATAAGTTGTATGTTTTAATTCCTTTTTAACATAGTTCTGCTTTGTCTAATCATGTATTTGTAAATTTATGGCAAATGTTTGCTTTGTTTCTGTACGTGCTAGTGCTGTTGTCACCAGCCCAATTTCCACAACAGAATAGCACGTAAATAAAGTTACGAAATATTCTATGTATCTGAACATATACTCTCAACTAACATTGAAACAATTAACAATTAACATTAAACAATTTGAGGAAGTCAAACTGTGAGTTTCACATTAGCAAAGCTTCTTTAGAGCGTCACAACTAAAATGAAAATTTACACTAAAATGAAAAATTACACTGCAAGAATATTAGCGATAAAGGACAAGCGGTATTAATTGAATGGAAAAATGAGAACCAGCCTAGAAATGGGTGAACATTTAATAGAGTATACATGGGTTTGGGTGACCAGGATTGGTTAATAATGTAAGTTATGTTTTATGAAGAAGAATCTTTTGAGAGTTTATCCTAGTTGTAAGTGAAAAAATAGAGACATTGTTTTATTGATGGAATTCCAGTCCTTTAACAGTCTTGAATTTGGAATACTCATTACGAAAATTAGCACCCGACTGACTCTTTCTTGCAGAACTGAAAGCACATGTTTCAAAAACACGCAGCTCCATAAAATATCTGGGCTCATATCCTTTCCTCTACACAGAAGCTGACTTCCAGGTTTCATCTATACTGATAAATATAGGTTTGATCATGCGCACTCAGAAATTTTAAGCTATTGAGTTTTTGATATCTTGGTGTTTGCATAGGCCTACTATGGGAACTGAGTTAGTACCGTGAGTCCTGAAAGGAGTGAGAAAAAAAATGAATTGGAACTTCTCTCGTGGGGCATATGAATCACGCGTATTTAAATGTAAACGCACACGTATTAAAATTAAATTTGTTTCAACGCATGAACGTTGACCTCAGTGATTATACATATTTCGATATATATATATATATATATATATATATATATATATATATATATATATATATATATATATATATATATATATATATATATATATATATATATATATAGAGAGAGAGAGAGAGAGAGAGCGATATATATATATATATATATATATATATATATATATATATATATATATATATATATATATATATATATATATATATATATATATATATATATATATATACAGAGAGAAAGAGATTATATACTATGAGGGTGCATGTACATATACATAGATCATATCCTACCTTTAGTTTCGTGTTAATTCTATTTAAACTGATTTTCTCATTATTAAGTATAAACACAATCAAGAGTATCAACTCAGACACACTCCCGAAAATTAAAATAATGCATATGGATTATTGAAGTTTATATTAATAGTATATAAATGTTATATAACTGATTGTAATTTATATACGAATATTATGAACTATTCTTGTATTCTTAAAGAGTTCAATTAAAATAGCAATATGACTTAACAATCACAAAATCCTATTTAACCGAGGAAAGAAGCAGAAAATACGTCTAACTGACCTAGACAACACGATAAATACAGATAATACGAGAAAATCAAACTACGAGTCACACATTAGCAAGCTTCTGGAGACGTCAAAACTAAAATGAAAAAGTACACAAACATGGAAAATTACACTACAAGGATATTAATCGATTAAAGCAACGACATACGATATATATGAAAATTATTTGTAACAAACTTTCATATTAGCTTGAAGGCAATATTACTTTAAGAAGACTCTTGTTAAATCTTCAACGAAGGGACATCAAATGTATAGGAATTTCTGTCATGTGACATCAAGGGGACATCAAACGTACAGGAACTTCTGTCGTGTGACATCGAGGGAACATCAAACGTATAGGAACTTCTGTCGTGTGACATCGAGGGGATATCAACTGTATAAAACGTATGTTGTGTGACATCAAGGGGACATCAAATGTATAGGAACTTCTGTCGTGTGACATTGATGGGACATCACATGAATCGGAACATCTGTCGTGTGACATCGAGGGGACATCAAACGTATAGGAA